CCACAGCTCCGCTGCAGTAATACCCAGCAGACCATGCATAACTCTTCCCCAGGTGACAGAGCTCTAATGCACCTGACCCCAACAAAACAAACTTGGCTTCAGATTTGCCTGTGGGCCTCAGTAAATATTTAACAGACTGTGTCCCCCGCTTTTCTTGCCTGCCATTAACTGGGGCTAGTGCCATAAATCCCTGCTTCCCTTCCTGCCATAAGCAGCCCGTTAGCTGATGAGACTCCGGTCCTGACTTTCTGGTGCAATGCCACTCCTGGGCTGGCAGCTCTTGGTAGTTTTGCTGTGGAAACCGACGAGGAAAGATGGGTGAGTGGGAGGGGTCCTGTGACAGACCAGCCTTGGCTTGATGGTGGCCACTCCCTTTGATGCATGATATAAGGGCTGACCTTGAGCTCTTTGTGTGTGCCTGCAAACACGCTGATTTGTGTTGATTCTTTCATGTCAGCATCACAAAATTTTCATGAAGTGAGTAGTTGTGGTTTATTCCCATTTTACAGAGGAGGAAACCAAAGGTTAAAAATATTTCCCCAGAGTAACACAGCTAGTAAATTTGGTAACTTGACCTCAAACTCTAATGTTTAAACCTCTCTCCTGTACTTTTGTGCTGTGTGTGTACTCAGCTGCTAAGTCGTGTCCCTCTGTGTGACCCCATGAACTGTAGCCCACCAGGCTCCTCTGTCCATGGATTTCCCAGGCAAGGATGCTGTAGCAGGTTGCCATTTCCTCCACTAGGGGATCTTCCTGACCTAGGGATTGAACCCACATCTCTTGCATTGGCAGATGGATTCTTTACCACTGAGCCACCTAGGAAGCCACATAAGTTTTGTCATAGTGGCTGATATTTAGACCTGTCAGCTTCCTTTTGAGCCCGTCTTTCTCTTGGATCTAAAAGTTGTGTCCGGTAGGTTTACATGGAACAAGAGGAGCTCATTCTGTGACTCCTGGTCACTGGGGACGGCTTAAGGCTGAGCGTGGATGCCCTTTGTCATGGTCATGACGACAGATGGAAAAATGACCCTCAAAGATGCCCATGTCCTAGTCTCCAGAACCTGTGATTGTGTTATTTACGTGTCACAAGAGACTTTGCGCATAAGATTAAGGCTCAGGGCCCTGAGAAATTATCTTGGATCATCTGAAAGGGCCTAGTGTAATCACCGTAAAAGTGGAGGAGGGAGGCAGAAGAGTCAGAGGTGATGAGATGATGGAAACAGGGTCTGAGAGATGCTGTGATGGAGGCAGATGGAGGAAGGGGCCACTAGCTGAGGAATGTGGGCGTCCTTTAGAAGCTGAAAAAGACAAGGAAACGGATTCTTCTTAGAGCCTTCAGAAAGGAACATAAGCTACCTTCATTTTTATCTTAGCGAGACCTGTGCTGGGCTTCTGGCCTCCAGAACTGTCAGCTCATGGGTTGTGTTGTTTCACACCACCGAGTAATGGAAAGTCTGAATTACAGCAGTCGTTGCTGTTGATCATAATTGGTGTAATGGTCGAGCTGATGGGCTTGGGAGTCAGGCTGCCTGACTTCAGATCCTTGTTTTGTGACTTTTCTAGCTGTGTGACCTTGGGCAAGTGGCTTAAGCTGTCTGGCTGGGCCTCAGTGTTTTCATCTTTAAAGTCAGATAAGAGTGTTCTATAACATATGGTGTGATGGTGAGGATTAAATGGGAATTCTATGCATATGAAGAGCTTCGCTGGTGCCTCAGTGGTGGAGAACCCGCCTGCCAGTGCAGGAGATGTGGGTGGATCCCTGGGTCAGCAAGATCCCCTGGAGAAGGAAATAGCAACCCACTCCAGTGTTCTTGCCTGGAGAATTCCACTGGAGCCTGGCGGGCTCCAGTCCGTGGGATGCAAAAGAGTCGGACACGACTTAGTGACTCGATGACAACAACAACAATGCATGTGAATTGCCTGGAAATAGGCTTTTCCTGTGGGTCATGGTGCAGGCTAGGAAGATAGATTGTCTGGCCTCAGATTCAGGTTCTACTCTTCCTAGGTGTTTATGACCCTGTTTCCTCATCTGGAAAATAAAGGCAGGAGTCCCAGGGAGGTTGGGGATTGTATTAGATGGGGGCCAGAGCTTGAAGCAAGATGAATAACTGCTCTTCCACAAGGGCAGTTACTGTTATCATCGGTGGGCTGCTGGCTTTCGGGCCCCAAACCCTAAGCATTGTGGATCCGTCTGTTTATCAGTTATCTTTAGAGTAATTCGAATATGCTGGGTTGAAGTCCTCTTGGTCTCCCCTTATAGCTAGAACAGTACTGGGTACCTAGTAGGTGCTCAGTAGTTGCTGAATGAATGAAAAAAAAAAAAAGGAAGAGGCCCCAAGCTCTGCTCTGAAGAGGCTCACAGCGCAGGACAAGGCCTGGAAGGGTGCCAGGGCTTTGTGGTTATCTTTAAAAAGAAACAAAACAGAGAACTACTTCCTACCAGCTGACCCCACACCCCCTCAGCTGGGACCTCTGGGCCCTGCAGGGGAGCCCAGGGCTGTGTGCCAGGCCTGCCCCTGCTGGTAAGTCCCCAAGCGGGCTACCTAACCCTTCTGGCACGTACTGTCCTCCTGTTTATCGTGGGCGTACCTCAGCCTCCCTGCTCTCCTGGGGTAGCTCCTAAGAAGGAACCCTAAGCAGTGAAGCCCCGTTCCCTCTGTGAGAGGGCTTTGGTGCCGGTGGGAGGTGACACTCCCCGCCCTCACCCGTATTTAAGGGTCAGAGCTACAGGGCGTGATTTTTAGTGAGCTTCCTTCGCTGTGCGTGTGTGTGTATGTTAGTTGCTCAGTCATGTCTGACTCTTTGTGACCCAGTGGGCTGTAGCTCGCCAGGCTCCTCTGCCCATGGGATTCTCCAGGCAAGAATATCACAGTGGATTGCCATTCCCTTCACCAGGGGATCTTCCCAGCCCAGGGATCGAACCCTGCAGGCAGATTCTTTACTGTCTGAGCCATCAAGGAAGCCCTTCCTCTCGGCCCTTTAGGTCAAACATCAGGAAGAAAGAACCACTGCTGCTATTGGTTTTTCTTCTTATCCCCAGGCCTGATCTTTTGACCAGAAAGGAATTTAAAAAAAAGTCCCTCATGATGGCTGCATCTGTCAGCTGCAAGGAGCTTCCTTTAAGGATCTTCTGAGTCTTGTGGGTAGACTCCGGGAGTTGGTGATGGACAGGGAGGCCTGGTGTGCTGCAGTCCATGGGGTTGCAAAGAGTAGGACACGACTGAGCGACTGAACTGAACTGAACTGAGTCTTGTGGATGTACAGTGATTCTCAGCCGCCTGCATGGGGACTGATGCTGGTGGAAGCAGGCTCTCCAGGGACACACACTGGCCACATTTCTGGATGCTCATGGTGGTTTTAGGAGGGCCCTGGCTGAGCACCTTGTGGATTCCTGCAGCCTGGATGAAGATGGGAGACACAGGACCGATGCTTCCTGCCTTTCTCACTGACGGGGATGTTTGGTTGGAGCTCTGCCAGCTCCCCCGGGGGCTGCCTCTGAAACGTAAGACCCACCTCCTCCTTGTGCAGGCATCTCCCGTGTGTTCGGTCCAGCACACACCTGGGCTTCCGGTGCCGCCACCTGGCTGGCGGGAGAGGTCAGCATCATGCAGCCGGCTCTATTCTTATAGCCGGGAACCAGGAGCCACGTGTCAGCTGGGTGCCTTGGAGCCAGAGGATCCTGGGCTGGGATCCGTAACCCACATCCACCCAGTGACTCGGGGACAGAGTGACTGCTGGGTTCCTTGCTCCCCTCTCCTCAGTGGGGGTGACGTGACATCGTCCTTCGTAGGACCGGTGTTGAGGATCCCAGAACACTTGTGTGTGTGCGGCCAGCCAGCATCGTGCCCGGCACACAGCTGATGCCCAGCCCGCAGTGGGAGTATTACTTGTGGTTGGAAGGAGGTTGTTGCTCAGGCTTTGGAAATCTTTCTGATAACAGCCGGGGGGTGGCCTTTTAACTAGGCGCTGCTGGCTGGCGTGGACAGTTGATCAAAGGTCCCAGTCCCCAGAGCCTGTGGGAGGGCTGAGTGCCCGGCTGGCAGCAGGCGAGGGAAGGGAGCCTTGTGTCCGTGTGAGGGGGGCGGACCAGGCGACACTGGGTTCTGGGTGGTTCTGCAGCTGACAGGCTGTCCGGACCGGGCAGTTGTGACGTTGATGACTCCAAGGGATGCTGCCCAAGCGTTGGGCTGCCCACAGGAGAGTGACAGCTCTAACAGCCAGTGTCCTGTGCGCTCAGGTCACCTGGGGCCGCCTGGCACTTGCCTGCGGAGAAGGCATGTGGGGTGGGGCCAGGGGTTCCGCTTTGGTTGGGTTCCCGGTTCTGCTCACGCCCCGCGGCACTTCTCAGCTTTCCCTGACCTTCTCATGGAAATGACGTCCCTCTGGTTACTGCCCACTGTCCCGGCCCACAGCTCCTCCCTGTGTCGAAATATTATATCCGTCTATGCAAGGTGTTTGATTTCTTGTCCTCCTCCCATCCTCGGACGTGGTCCGAGGTCGAGAGGCATGTGTACCTGGCTCACAGCTAAACACACAGCGGGCCCCTTATTCACTGCGGCGGAGTTGATCGTATGAAATCTGTCTCGGTGGTTTGCTTTCAGCTTCTGTGAAAAGGACAGACGGAAGGGAGACACGGTTTTTGAGCATCTGTAGAACTTAACCAGCCCAACAGTTGCACCGGGTGGGCAGTGGTGTGCCCAGTTCACAGCTGAGAACTGTGCCCAAGGTTATTTACCCAAGAGAAAGCGGAGGAGGGTGTGTGTGTGTGGCATTGCCTGCGATGGAGTACTCTTAGGGTCCCTAGGTCCTCTTTGTCATCTGGAGAGCCAGACTCTAAGTATGAACTCTGGGCCCCGCAGGGAGGCGGCTCCTGGTCCCCTGGGACTAGGTGTGGTGGGAACTCAGTGCAGCCCCGGAGGTCTGCTGGGAGGAATGGACAACACAGCCTGACAGGTGCTCTGCTCACTGCTGCCCATGGCCAGGCGGGGCAGGGGGAGAAGTCACCCCGGGAGGGGGCTCTTGAGGGCCTGGGGTTGCTTAGAGGCTTGGGAGGCTTGGCTGGGCTCGCAGTGGCCATTAGAGCTGCCCTGGGAATGCGAGGCGAGTGTGGACACCAAGGCACAACCCTGGCCCTTCCGCTTCCACCCGCACACCCCCTCGCGTCTCTGCAGCCATCTCCCCCCGCTCTCCCACTGCAGAGCGGCGCCCTCGCTTATCACATGGCCCACAGCCTTGCTTCTTTCTCCTTTTATCAGCGGCTCCCTAGAACAACCCCATTGTGGTGGTCTGGGGTTATCTCAGGCTCCTCCCAGGAGGGGGTGGCTGGGCTCGGGCACCCGAAGGCTCGGAACGGTCGCAGTGAGAAGTAAGGTGCCCGTTCCCCTCCCCTCTGGCTACTCTGAGCAGATGCCCCGTGTCTGCAGGGTTGCTGCACACCGTGGGCACGGATGTCCGAATAATCACCATTTGTTAAGCCATGTCCTATGCAGGGCACTTATTCCATTGCAGACCTTACTCCATTCCAGCCCCAGACCAGACCCACGAGGTTGGCGCTGCAGCGGTTGTTTTTGGTATCCGAGTAGCTGGGGGCCCAGACTGGCGAAGCAGGTTCTCCCCAGGCTCCACAGGCAGCCCCGGAACACAGTTGTCACTGATGGCAGAGCCTCGGGGCCGTCTGCTCGGGACTGAGCGACACAGCTCCTGCTTCCTTCTGGGCCCCCCTGCCAGCGACCGTGTGACCTCGGGCAGATCCCCTCTCTTCTCTGGGCCTTGCTGCCCTCGTGGGTAGGGAAATGTCTGATTTCTCTTCTAGCCTGAGTGCAAAGGCAGCGGCACTTAGTCTGGGATGACAGGTGTCAGCCAGGAGGCTGCTGGGCGGGCCAGCCGCCATGGGCCTGGAGCGTCAGGCGTGTGGTGGAGGGGCTGGTGGGCCCGGCAGCGGTGGTGGTGCTGATGCTGCCCCCAGAGCTGCCATTTCCGGGTCCACGTCGACTCGTCCAGTTTCTCCTTTGCGATCGAGTGGCCGCTTCGTGTTTCTGCTTGGCCTGATCGAGATCCCCTGGAGGAGGGCATGGCAACCCACTCCAGTATTATTGCCTGGAGAATCCCATGGACAGAGGAGCCTGGCAGGCTACGGTCCATAGGGTCGCAAAGAGTCGGGCACGACTGAAGCGACTTGGCTTGCACGTGCACAGTCTCCTCATCGCACAAGTCTGTCTTTAGCTGCTTGGAAGAACCCATTTCAGTTTGAGCCCTCTTACCCCAGGCTGCTGCTAGAGCAGGCCTGACTTTTTTTTTTCAAATTTACTTAACTGATAGGCCCCTGTGAGGATTGGAGTCCGAGGGAGAGGGTCTAGGGGACACATTGCTGCCCCCTACATCCGCAGACACCCCAGCCGGCGTTCCTGGACATGGCTTAGTGACCTGCAGCTGCTCCCCCGTAGCAGGGCTGGCCTGGGCCCCTGGGCTCTGCACAAGCTGAGTGTAGACCGGTCCCAGTGAACAGCCATGGGGTTGCTTAGTGTTTATCAATGCCTGATCAGTCTTCCAACCCAGGGAAGTGGGTGGCACCCCACCTTTACACGTGAAGAAACTGAGGTTCAGAGAGACCCAGAGAACTGCCAAGCTTGTCTCAGGAGAGCGGAGAAGCTGGTGTGTACCCTCTGATATGTCAGCTCTCCGCCTCCCTACTTCTGCTTGGCTGGTGGTTCTCATGCATGCAGTGAAGTGTACAAGATGCCTCTAGTTTATATGCGGTGCAGACTTTTAGGAAAACCGTTTTATGTTTATTTTCATTTGAATTAGAAAAACAACATGCCTGTGATTTTGCAGATATTACTGCTTAAGACGTATTAATAGTTACGGAAGTTGGAGAAAGGTCGGTTTGGCAAAAAGGTGGCAACACCTGGATGCAGCCCTCCTGCAGGGGGCTCAGTTCGGAGCACACGTCCTCACTTCCACTGGTGGCACTTGGGCTGTGTGACTCCGACCACGTCACGGGAGACGAGGGGTCCCCCAGACTGATTGAGTGGCTCTAGGTCCCACCTCGTGCCAGCTGTGCTGTTCAGTCCACCATGATCCTTCCTAAATCCAGAAGATTCATGATGAAGCAATTGTACAGCTCAGTCTGAAGCTAGACTGAAAACAAAAGGAATCTTGGATGATAGTGCTGTAGAATCCTATAATTCTGCTTGAATTGACAGTGACTGCTGGTCTCGTCTCTGCCAACTGTATTCTACTTACTGAGCACCAAAGTTTTCAGATCAGCTCCTGTATTACTTTCTGGGATTGGATTATGAAATAGTAAATATTGCTACATGCAAATCAGTCGATGATTCATTCATTCATTTTTTTTTTTCCATTCATTTCTCCTCAGTAAATAGGGGATAGTATAACCTACCCTGAGGGTTTATTGTGAGAATTAAATAAGAGACTATATTGAAGGGATTACTTCAGTGCTTGACGTATGATCAGCACTCAGGGGTTCTTAGTTATTTTTAAACCAAGTGTTAAAATGGAATTAGAAGATCAAAACATACAGACCTATGGAAATAAAGACCATTGAGGTTTCATGAGTTACTAACATTGAACATTACATTTAGTTCTGACTTCCTGGTTAGCGCAACATACAGAGTCTAAATCAAGGTTTGGCAAATCTTTTGTTCCAAGGGCTGGGTAGTAAATATTTTAGGCTTTGTGGGCTATATGGTTCTGTCATTACTAGTCAGTTCTGCCTTTGTGTCTGGAAAGCAGCCATAGCATGTAAATGAAGGGGCATGGCTGTGTTCCCATAAAACTTTATTTATAAGAACTGGCAATGCGCCTGCAGGCTATAGTTTGCCCCTTGGTCTCAGTGAAAGAAACTTGTTTGTTTTTGAAAAGGAGAGACTCCTCCTGGATCATAAACACTGAGAAAACGTTGTTACAAGATGTAGTCTTTGTATGAGGCTTGTTAAGCAGCATATGGATGATGGGGTTTTCACTGGGGTTGTAGGGAAGATACGAAAGAACTTCACATTCTGGGTTCTCCTCCTGTGTGGATAGCAGATGTTTGTTGAGGGCTTACTGTGTCCCAGCCTCTGAGGCTGACCCATAATAAAACCCACAGACATGTGCATTTTGGTAGGGAGTGCCGTGTTAGCAAGGGACCATCTTGGTGGCTTTTTCGGATGTTTTTTTTTTTTTTTTTTCATGAGCTCTTTAATGTTTTATTCTGGAAAACATCAAAGCTGTACAGAAGTCAGGTATCATGAACAGGGTGTCATTTCAGAGGAGTGTTATCAGTGTTGGATGCCCTGTCCAATCCTGGAATTCCATATGGTCCTCAATGCTAATTTGAGTGGCAGGCCCAGCCCCCAGGTTCCTGCTTCTTAGGGTGGTGGGGAGCAGCTGGGACATTCTTGCCCTCTTTTGGCTAAGCACTGCGGTTTTTGGAAGACTGTGGTTTTGGAGCAAAACACAGCCAGGTTGTGAAACTTTGCTGTTTCACAGCTGTGTGACCTTGCTGTGGCTCCTAAGCCTCTCTGAGTCTCTCTTTCGTCATCCGCAAAGTCAGAACCATCACGCTTGAGAATCTCCACTTCTTACCAGTGTTTTTGCTCTTTCAGTGTCAGTTCCTCCCCGTGGGAGGACAGAGGCTGCTGGCCTCACCCCTCTCTCCTCCCGGGAAACCGGCTCCTGGCTTTTTCAGCCGTAGCCTGGGGTGTGAGAATGGCCGTGCCCTCCTCCTGGGTGAGTGTTTAGTGTAAAAAGGCTTGAGAAAACACTGGCCCGCGGAATTCCGAAGTTAATGAAGGGGGCAGATTCCAGGAGGGTCTCTGTCTGACCTCTCACCCTTTCCCCAACACCCCGTTATCCCTGAGTGCGTCCAGAGGCAATGGAAGGTTTATAGCCGCTGCACAAAAGAGCTCTCGCGCAGTGGGGCAGGACTGTGGCCTTGGCCCCTGGAAAGCAGGGTCAGGGCCTGTGAGTTTGAGCCTCTTCCCTGGTTAACCTGGTTAATGAGAAAGGCTTTGGGAGTAACCCAACAGGGCAAGAAAGGCCATGGTGAGGGGGGAGAGGGGCAGATTTGAAAAAGTTCAGGAATGATATTTAATTTCTCCAAAGGGGGACCTTAAAATAAAAAACGGAGCTTTTTTTTTTCATTATTCTGACATTAGAACCCATGCAGTCTATTCACTTAGGACTACCGGGGTAGGATAAAGAGAACAGGGTTGTTTGTTTTTTTTTTAATAAAAAATGTATTTAAAAAATTTTATATTGGAGTATAGATAATTAACAATATTGTGATAGTTTCAACTGGACAGTGAAGGGCCCCAGCCATACATAGACATGTATTCATTCTCCCCCAAACGCCCCCCAACTATCCCTTCCCCGTGAGTAAAAGAACAGGCTTCTGTGTGTAGTTGCAGTTTCAGGAGCTGTTCTCTACTTCTGCTTTTGAGAACTTTCTGAGAAAAGGCTTCCGAGGCCAGAGCTGGGCAGTGATGTGCCATAGCTTAGGTGTCAGAGGCCAGAGTCCCGCTCTGCCTGCGTCTGCAGCCCCGGGACTTGGGTGACTGCTGTGGGCCCTCAGGAGCTTCGGGGTCTTGGCTGTGCGCTTGTTTTCCCATCTCGCCCCGGGTGTCCTCTCTTCCCACCTGTGGCCTTGCTGGCACTCATGGTGGTGGGGAAAGCTTGGTCTCCCTGCTTGGTCTTCTAAAAGTGTCAGCCATGCTAATAGCTAGTTGTGCAGTGGGTCTTTCCCACCTGTCTACCTGTCTGCTACTCTCCGTGACTCCGCATGGGCTCGGCCTTTCTGGGGAGAGGGGCTCGGCTCCACCTAACTACCAGGAACTGCCCTGACCCTCCCCTCCTGCCGCTGTGGAGGCTTATCTGGCTCCAGCCCAGAGCAGCTGCTCCCGGTGAGGTCTCTGAGTCACTCTGAGTTTCAAGACTGGGTTTAGCAGGTAGTCGAGGACATAAACAAATAAACATTAGCCAGGACAAGCTTCCAGCCCTCTGCTCAGCCAGGGGCCCTGGAAGCTTCTTGTTGCATGTTCGGGGAATATGAGAATGGCCCTGATGGAGACATGCTCCAGGGAGATGATGGGGGCATGTTAGAGAACCTGGCGTTTGCTGGCTGTGTGGCCTTGGGTAGGATGCTCGGCCTCTCTGGGCCTTCCTCACCTCCTCTGGGAAGCTGGTTATCATGAAAATGAGATGACCTGAGTTGTAAAACCTGGCCGGGGGTTAGTCCCCCGCCCCGACCTCAGATCCCCACACAGAGAAAATCCTGGACATACGACAGCTTTGCGAGGCAGATTGCTTTTGAGACTGCCCTGTTTTCCGTGCCATTCTTGGGACTTCTCTGAGGCTCCAGCTCCTCATCTTTCAATGAAGGGGCGTTCCTTGCTCTGTGCCCCTCGCGCGCTTGTCGAGAGGACCCATGAGTCACCTCTGGGAAGGTGCCCGAGAGCTGGGCAGCCTGGCCGTGTCTGGCTGTGCTTTCCATGCCGGCTCCCCCGGGAGGGAGCGTGGCGGGGGCGGAGGTGACTGGGTCCAGCACCTTCCTTAGGGCTCAGGCCAGGCGGCTCTGGACCACCGTGTGTTCAGGACACAGGCAGCCCTGCCTCCCTTTAAAGTAGCGGAGCCCTGGGGGTCCTGTGGGTGCCTCCAGCTCCTGCTCTCCTCCGTCCTTCTCAGGGACTTGCTGGACTTCAGAATCTGCTGAGTTTGGGGGTTTCTTTGTATCCCGTGAATCATCCAGGTCTGAAACGCAAAAGGAGAAGCCACAAAGGACCGCTGCACCATGGCCCTGTCCCCACCCCCAGGATTAACCAGTGGTAAACAAGGAGGCATGTTTGCTTTGAATCCTGGCTTTTGTAGATATTAAGAGAAAACTAGAGATAAAGTGGATGTTGGTGGGGACTCTTCTTCCGTTCTGTTTCCTTCCCTTCATAGAAGTCCTACTCTTCTGAACTTGGGTCACCTTCTTGTGCGTTCGTGCTTGGTCATCTTAGTTGTATCTGACTCTTTGGGACCCCGTGGACTGTAGCCCACCAGGCTTCTCTGTCTGTGGGCTTCTCCAGGCAAGAATACTGGAGTGAGTTGCCATGACCTCCTCCATCACCTTCTTATACTTGGATTATAAACCTATTTGGAGGGCATTTGGAGGTACACTTTGTATATTTGAAATTCTAGTGGAAGTGGCTTAAAAGTAGGGTGTGATGGCTGCAGTTTGCAGAAGACGGAGTTTTCCGGATGCTTCTGTGGTTCAGTGTGTGGGTCTTGTTCCTAAACAGTTCTGTCAAGTGGTCAGGTCTGGCTTGGTAGGCATAGCAATGTCCGTGTGTAGACATTGATGGAACAGTGCTTGGGTGTTTGTTGCCCTTTATTGTCACCATGTGCCAAGATTGAAATAATCCTTCCACACCCAGAAGGTAGAAATGCTTTCTGAGTCTCACGTTATAGGTGTGAGAGTGGAGGCTGGTGTTCAGCCACCCAGCGAGTAAGGCTGCAGCTGGGATTCTCAGTTTTCCCGGGATCCTGTTCCCTAGGCTGCCTGCTCCCTGCCCCAGAAATGTCAGATTGCATTGCGGGAAAAGTCAGGACTCAGGTCCCAGATGGACAGAGGGGGCCCTGCGGGGGGCCTGGCTCTCTGCCTGATGGAAGTGACACCTGCCTGCTCTATTTGCAGTCCCGGGTTCTCCCCCCTACCGTGTCTCCGGAAGTCACGACCCGCCGGCCGGCCAGCACTCGGGGAGGACGGCCCAGGAAGCTGTACCCAGCTCTGCTGGCCTGCCTGCCGGGTGCCTGTCAGCCCGGCTGCCACAACAGGGGGCGGAGCGGGCAGGATGGGTGGGGAGGGGAAAAAAACCCAAAAAATCTACAGCAAGCAAACAATTTAGGTCGTGCAGTGGACAGACCCCTGGATTGTTGTGAGATGACTCAATGACCAGACTGGGGTCAGGAAGCCTGGGCTGCAGAAAGATAATGTGAAATCTTTGTGGATTTTTTCCGGGAGTTCTTGCCTTTTTAAAGGATTTTGTTTTCTACGTTATCACCCTGGGGATCCTGGCTCTGGGGTTTTCTAAGGCAGGGGTTTATGGAGAATGCGAGGAGTCGGGATGGGGCAGGGCGGGGGAGGGGTATGGACCGAAGAAGGGGAAGAGGAAGATGGGGCTGGAATGGTCACATTCCCCGTCCAGCTCCTTCCCGATTCGGTTTCTCTCCCAGGAACAAGGGGCCAATTCACGTGGCTCCAGTGGCCTCACTGGCCTGGAGTTGAGCCCATGCCTTCCAGTGACTAAGGAGGAAATGCCATTCCACTTATCCCGCGGGCCCTGCGTCCCCAGGCCATTCTCTATCGTTGCTTTGTGACTGCCTCATCTTTTTGGCATTTGCCTCTTTGGTTTCTTTTTCTGGGTAATACGCTGAGGTTATGTGGGCTCTGATTCCACAAAGCCCCACCAGATTTCCGTCTTCCACACACAGTTGCTTTTGGGTGACCTGGGCTTCTTGTGTTGAAGACTGTCGGCACCTCTCCCCACCCCCACTGGTCTTGGCTCTTCACCCAGCTGGGGGGTCTGCAAAGCCTCCTGGCTTTCCCGGCAGAGCCAGGGGGCTCTGTCCTCTGTGGTCTGAGGCTCTGTGCTCTGTTCTCTGGGGTGCTTCTGCCGCATGGGTCCCTCTCTGCTGGGAGCCCAGGAGCATTGCTGGTGGGAGGACAAGGCTTTGGCTCACCTTGTATTCAAAGCCCTCCACGTCGGGCAGGTTCATGTTTGCTGATGAATGCCGACCTCTCCAGACCCAGCTGCGACTTTTTCAAATTAAAGGGGATGGGATCCTGCACATTTCCCTATGTGCCCTGGGCAGATAATCACTGGTTAAAAGTGGGTATCTGCTGTGTTCTCAGGGTCAATCCTAGAAAGACATGCCTCCCCTTCACTAAATCAGAGGAAGCAACAGGAAAGCAGTGTGTGTGTGTGTGTGTGTGTGTGTGTGCGCGCGCGCGCGTGTGCGCGCTCAGTTGTGTTCAACTCTTTGCGACCCCATGAATTAACAGTAGCATGCCAAGGTCCTCTGTCCATGGGATTTCCCAGGCAAGCATACTGGAGTGGGTTGCCATATCCTACTCCAGGGGATCTTCCTGACCCAGGGATAGAACCCGGGTCTCTTGTGCCTCCTGCATTGGCAGGGAGATTCTTTACCACTTGAGCCACCTGGGAAGCTCCTTGAAAATAGTATAAAAGGTGTTTAATAAAATGATGTGACTTGGAGTGAGGAGGCCTGCGTTGTTACTTATGAGTAGGTGACCCTAGACTGAACATTTCTCCAAGCCTCAGTTTTCCCACCTGCAAAATGGGAGCAGTACTAGAGCTACTCTTCCCCCACCCCGCACCACTGCACCCCCAACACACACACACACACACTTGGAGGATGGCGTCCTGAGCTGGCACATGCATGTTTAGTACAAGGAGGGAGCTTTCTGGAGAGTGACCCATGGACACTTTTTTCATATATGAGCTCAGCGGGCGGGATGGACCTTTCAGAACCACCAGGGCTCTGCTAGGGGGCCTGGTGTGCTGGGCGGGTATAGGGAACTGCGAGTGGGGAGGCCTGCTTGTTGGAAAGCTGGGCAGTGGGCAGCCCCTGCAGAGACACGGGGGCTGCCCTCCTGAGGCAGTGACCAGCCACGTGGAGTGGAGGATTCTGAGGGGCTGTTTGGCCAGGGGATTTTGGAAGCAGACAGAAGATTGCTGGCACATCAGACCTGCAGGGGCCACGGTGGTCCCCAAGGGTGGGATTCTCTGCGTGCCTGCAGGGCAAGAGTATGCGGGAGTCTTTCTCACTGCGGGGAGGGCGGGGAGGTGCAGGGGCGCTCAGCCCCGAGGGCTCCGCACATCGTGTCCAGCTTCAGGTTGGCTCTGCTCCACTGCGGTCAGAGGAACAGGTACGGGTGTCCCAGCTGTGTGGAGGGGTGTCGGGGGTGGGGGGAGCAGGCCTGGGGGATGGGGGCCGGCAGGGGGTGGGTGAATGGTGTGGAGTGATGAGGATGTGCTTGGCAGGGTGGCGCTTTGGAAAGCTTGTCTGTTTCTTAGCCCATTTCCTGCTCTGTTGCCTGGGCCCCTCTGAGCTTTGGTGTCCTGATCTGCAGACTGAGGGCAGGGAGCTCTGTTTTGTGGGTAAGTGGGAAACCCTGACCTGCAATGGAATGGAATGTGGGAAACCAGCTGATACCCCCCTCTTTTCTTAACTCTTCTCTGTCGCTTGACACTCCATGAAGCCCGTACCAGTCAGATCAGCAACATTGAATGACTTCCTGATCAGAGCTGATGTTCATCTAGTGTTTCTGAAGTCCTGGGCAATGTGAAGCAGACCTCGTCTGTTATATGATTTAATTCCTGCCATCATCCTAGGATTATAGTGCCATAATTGGCCCCACTTTACAGATGAGTAAAACTGAGGCTCAGAGAGGTTGAGTACAGTGTCTGAAGGCACACAGCTAAAAAGTGGCTGCTTTGGTATCCCAGCCGCAGCAGTCTGGTTCCAGAGCTTGTGTAGAACCACCGTACTTAGCCTTCCAGGAGGAGGGAGGAACGTGTGTGTGTGTGTTTGTGGAGGAGGGCAGTAGACGTCACTGTAAGGTATTCCTATGTTAAGATATTAGTGGGCCAGGCTTGCTTGCAGAATCTCTGACAAAGAAACCACAGAAGATGGTTCTGGAAGGGCTGGGGATGTGGGCTTTACCCAGTAGTTTGTCAGTCTCAGGACCTGCACTGGGAGGCTCTGGGGGAGGCCGGGCCTATGGACACCCACCCGCTTCTCCACCTGCTCCACGCGGGACGCAGAGGAGGCCTGAACCATCTGACCTCCTTCCCCGGTCTCCACTTCTGCCCAGCTCCTCTCAGGAACTTCTCCTTCTGGTTGACAGCCGGGGTCCTTTGTTCCAGACGTTACTTTTTTGGATCTGTGTTAGTTGAGTGGATCCAAGTGCACCTGTAATTGGGGACCCTCCCAGGCATGCTGCTTCCTGCCGGAGTGCCCTGGGCCCCCACAGCAGAGCACTGTGGCCATGCTCCCAGCTCCCAAGTCTAGCCCGCTGGCCTAGCAGAGGCTCCAGCAAGCCCAGCCCTGGGGTCATGGATCCTGAACGTGGATAGCCAGCCCTGGGGCCCTGGACTGTGAATGTGGTTACCTGGGCGCTGCTTCGGGTGAGCCGGGCACTACTGTGTTGTTGCCATTGTTCGGTCGGTCAGTCGTCTCCGACTCTTTGCGACCCCAGGGACTGCAGCACGCCAGGCTTCCCTGTCCATCACCACCTCCCGGAGCTTGCTCAAACTCGTGTCGATTGAGTCGGTGATGCCACCCAACCATCCCATCCTCTCTCTGTCGCCCCCTTCTCCTCTTGCCCTCAGTCTTTCCCAGCATCAGGGTCTTTTCCCAGTGAGTCGGCTCTTTGTATCAGGTGACCAAAGTATTGTGTATATAAGTAAATACAATATGTAAGTA